AGTAGTGTAATGTCCTCAGCCTTCACATTCACCTACCACTGACCCACCCAGAGCGACTTCCAGTCCTGCGAGCTCCATTCATGTTAAGTGTGCTATACAGGTATATCATTTTTTATCTTTTAGATCATCAGTACAGTACCCAACCATTTTGGCACCAGGGACTGCTTTTACGGAAGACAATTTTTCCATGGGCCAGGGGACGAGAAGAATGGCAAGCAATGGGGAGCGGATATAAATATAAATGAAGCTTCACTTGTCCATCACCCTTTCTGCTGTGCGGCCCAGTTCCTAACAGCCCATGGACTGGTACCAGTCCTCAGCCTGGGAGTTGGGGACTGCAGATTTAGATTGTATTTTTACATTACCTTTTCTATATTTAGATATGTTTAGATACATAAATACTTAACATTGTGTTATAATTGCCTATGGTATTCAGCACAGTTAACATGCTATACAGGTTTTGTAGCCTAGGAGCCTAGGTTGTACTTTATACACTAGATGTGTAGTAGGCTATACCATCTAGGTTTGTGTAGGTATGCTCTATTATTGTGCACACAAGGACAAAATCACCTAAGGACACATTTCTCAGACTATATATATCCTCATCGTTAATTGATGCATGACTGTATCATTAAGCAAACAAGCTTAATGTATAAGAATATAAACATTAAAATCCTAACTTAAAATATTTAGCATAAATACAGGCCAAGAATCCCTTATCTGAAATGCTTAGAACCAGAAGCATTTCAGATTTTTTTGGATTTTGGAATATTTGCAGTATGCTTTCCAGTTGAGGATTCTAAATATGAAAATCTGAACTCCGAAATGCCTGAATGAGCATTTCCTTTGAGTGTAATATCAGTGTTCAGAAAATTTCAAATTTTGGAGCATTTCAGATTTTTGGACTTAACCTGTAATTTCAACAAAAGCTTTGCCCCAAAAAACTTGCATAATACTGACTAAATGTCCAATTTGTGATCTGCCAACTACTTAAAAAAAAAAAAAAGGCTAATGATTTAGTTGACTATATTTCAGCTTTGCATTTGATATAAAGATAGAGTATTTACCCTCACCTTTAATCATGACTTACCAAACAGGTTACACAAAAAGCAAAATTATTTCTACTAAATTAAGTGTCTTACCTGCTACCCTCATGTTTGATTTTTCAGTCTATGGTGCTTTTCATTAAATATGCTCCTAAAAAATCAAAAGAAAAGGCAAACATCATTAGGTCTAGAATGAACATTCCTCCTTAGAGTTTGGAGTGTGTATATTAAACTAATTAAATAAATGTTATGACATTTCTAAGTATACCAATCCTGACATTTAATTAAAGAAACTCTTATCAATGGGCCTGTCTCCTTCCACTGGATCCTACAACCTCAAGAGGAGGATCTGTGTCTTATCCTGCTGGGTCCTCAACTCCCTAACTGAATGAACAAAGAGTAAAAACCTGCCATCAGGCTTGTAAATAGAAGATAATACCTTACTATTCTCACTGATTATGCATCTATAAGGAACTTTTGATACTTAGTTCCAAATCTTCAGTTTGCAAATGAGGTCCAAAGAAATTAAGCTGCTTATCTAGTTATGAAACAAATTATTTGCATAGAAATGGGGCTAAATTTAGGTTGGCTGACTCACTCTAGTAAGTGATGCCACTTCATTTTTGATATGACACAATTGAAGTGTCACTACAATAAGCATTCACAGCAAAGGCTTATTTTATTACCAGGGACCTCTTCCTTTTCTTGGTTTGCAATTTAAGTTTATAAAATAATATATTCAGAAGTGTAGAACTGAAATTTTAAATATCCTGGCAATTATCATTATTGACAGAGTAACTCTTTTTTTTTTTTTTAAAACAGGGTCTCGCTCCATTGCCCAGGCTAGAGTGCAGGGGCATCATCATAGCTCACTGCAACCTCAGACTCCTGGGCTCAAGCGATCCTCCTGCCTCAGTCTCTTGAGTAGCTGGGACTACAGGTACACACCACCATGTCCAGCTGATTTTTCTATGTTTTGTAGAGACAGGGGTCTCGATATGTTGCTCAGGCTGATTTTGAACTCCAGGCTTCAAGGAATCCTCCCTCCTCAGCCTGCTAAGGTGCTGGGATTACAGGTGTGAGCCACCTCATCTAGCTGACAGTCATGTCAATATATCAAATGAAGAAACTGTTCTTTGATATTATTTTAATATCAACAAGAAACAAATGTGAGAAAAAATTTGTATGTGTATGTTTCCTTCCTAAGAAATAATTCAAGATAGGCAAAATTTTTTTTCTTCCTTTCTTTTTTTTTTTTTTTTGAAACAACGTCTCGCTCAGTTGCCTGGGCTAAAGTGCAGTGGCTTCATCGAGATAGGCAAAGTTTAAAAAAGAAAATGGAAAAATAAATGAGTTTGATAGGAAAGCCATACCCAAGTTTAGGTGGACAGTGTCCATAGTCAACTCAACTTATTATAAAGGAAAGGAATTCAAAAGAAAATTTTAACTAATGAGTCACATTAACCAGCAGTACCTATTTCTCTATTTTAGACTGTGTTTTGATACTTACGTTTCAAGGTCATTGTCTGATACAGGAATAGAAGATTTCAAATAAAAACAATGGCACACCCACAAAGGACACTGAAAAGTGACATATCCAGTTTTCTTACTCACTGGAATAGGCAGGGGGGCTAAAAGGGGGTGGGCGCTGAACAGCATTCAAAGGTCCAATGCTCATAACATGCTAGCTCCCCTTCTTCTGCACAATCTACCTGAAGAAAGTAAGAACGCTTAAACTGAGTTGAGTGTTATTGATTTCTTTCCCTTTGTTAATTATCTGAACACTTT